AGTTAAGAGATTTGTTGTTTTGTATTCTCTGGGTTTATTTTTTTGTTGTATTAGTTGTATGTTAATTTCTATTGATGGTAGAATCAGGCAGTTAGAGGCCACGGTTCTGAACTTCGTGTAGAAGTACTGTGTACTTGCTAATATTTGAAAGATATTAAAATGTGAGGTACGGGCGTCCTATGTCATATATGGGTTAGTGTGCTTTGAATATTTTCTGTTTTGTTCTATTCTCTTCTACTTAAAAAGGTTGGTTTCAATCTACTGAATGGGAAATAACCTGCATTTTGAAAAACACTGTAATTTGTACTCATGATTTGTAGTATATATTCAGCTTTTAATGTAAAAGTGTTAATCTCCTTTGTCAGTGGTCTTATTTTTATTTTCTTTTGGTTTAGAGTTGTCATTAAAAATGAGATTAGTTGCTATTTTAAGTTTAGTTACAGGTACATTTAAAAAGCTTCAGAAAGAAAATAAAATACAACAGATTACTTCTTTTCTCATGTAATTGTCCAATATTTTCAGTGTGAATTTTTAAAATGAGTTATCCTGGGGCATTCAGTAGTCTGTGTTAAAGAATTGAAATTGATATTAAAAATGTAAAGTACCGCTTCCAAAGAGAAGTGTGAATGTACGCTGTCTTGGGATCTCTGCTACTCTTACAGAAGTGCTCTTTGTTCTAGAGATAACCGATTTTACAGTCGTTCAGTTGCTTTAACACGATCGGACCAGGTAAGACTTTAGTTGTCAGAGGTCACTGAACTTTATTTTTTTTCAAGTGCACAGCACATACCACCCTGGCCAGTGTGGCTCAGTTGGTCGGAGCACTGTCCCCTGAACCGAGTGCTGTGGGTTCGATTTCCGGTCAGAGCGCACACCCAGGTTGTGGGTTCAACCCCTGATCAGGGTGTGCATGAGGAGGCAGCCGACTGATGATTCTCGGTCACATCAGTGTTTCTTTTTCTGTCTCTCCCTTGTTTTCTCTCCCTCTCTCCCCTCTTCTTTCTCTAGAAGCAATGAAAAAATACCTTCTAGTGAGGATCAAAAAAAAAAAGTACATAGCACATATCTAGAAATTAAGTAGTTCTCATTTCAGTAGCATAGTCATAACTATCGTGTGAGAAAATTTTCCTTATTATATCACCTGGTGATCATATTTCATGGCTAGTTCTGTGATTCTGGATTGACTTGAATGGAGACAAGACATATATTCTCAGAATGAACACACTCAATCTAAAATAAAGGTTGGAATGTTATTTTATTCATGGCATTTGTTAATTATCACCAGTACTCTAGGTACATAAAATATATTGAATCTTTTTTTATTTTTAAAGAAGCATATTTAAGCAATGGAGCACGAGTAGGGAACTCATGGTCATGGACAATAGCGGGGATTGACTGTGGGATTGAGGGGGACGGGATTGAGGTGAGCCGGGGGGAAAGCATGGGCCAACTATAACTGAACAACAATAAATTTAAAAAAATCCATGGAGTAAAAAGGGAAACTCCTTCAAAATATGAATAGAAAAAGAAAAAAATTAAACAAAATATGCAAATAAATTTTATTTCTTAGCTCTTAAAAAAAGCCCATTTAAAGATTAGGACAAATCTGAGTTCAAGCTGGAGGAGATCAAATTATACAGATAATTCTATCATTTTATTATGTTATTGTCATTTTGGGAAACCCGAATGAATTGTTTTGTTTCTTTTAAAGGAAAAGTTTAGCAAAAATAAGATCATTTGCCAAAAATAAGTTACCAGAAAAATAAAAGCATAAAGGTCATAGAAATTGCCAGTAACCCTACTATTTAGAGAATACTACTAGTAGTATTTTCTTATATTTCTTTCCAGTTGCTCTGTGTGTTCTTTGTTTGAATCTTTGGAGTATCCTGGCTGCAGCACTAAGATCTGGAACACATGGTTCTTGAGTATTACTACAGTCTAAAAGAGGGACAGATACTTGAACAGATAATTTCAGTTTGATGTGGTTGCTAAGTTAGAAACAGTAAGAACGAAAGTTAAGAGAATTCCTAGAAAATATGAAATGTGAGGTTACTTGTGAGTTTCCCATGAAGTTTTGTCTTGTTATTTACATTGGCAAAATAAGCATTTTATACTTTTATATCTTCATTATTTTAATATGCAAAATTCTATTCTCCTGGCCCTTTTGGATTTATTTGTAATCGGTTCTTAATTAGAAATACTGCTTAAGGAACATTCTTTTGTCTATAACTCCACTCTTTCAGACATTGGATTGTTTTTGTTCTTAGCTCTATTAAGCTATAATTGACAGGTAAAATTATAATATATTAAAGTGTAAATGTGATGATTTGATATAATTATATGTTGTGAAAGCATCCTCACCAGAACTAATTAACACATTCATCACCTCATATATTTACCATTTTTTAAATGTGAGAACACTTAAGTTCTGCTCTCTTAGCAAATTTCAGGTATACAAAACAGTTTTATTACCTATAGTCATCATATACATCATATTAGATTCTTATAACTGAAAGTTTGTACTCCTTCTAGTCTCTTCCTGTTTTTCCCTATCCCCAGACCCTGACAACCACCATTTTACTCTTTATGACTTTGACTTTCATTTTTTAATAGCACATATGTAATACCATGCAGTCTTTGTCTTTTTTTTGTCTGGCTTATTTCACTTCGTATAATGCTTCCCAGGTCCATCCATGTTGTTGCAGTGACAGGGATTCCTTCTGTTGTGGCTGGTGGGACAGGGTGGAGCAAAAGTAGGTTTACTGTTGTTTGTGTGGAAAATGACGGAGTAATTACGATGTAATAATACATGAATAAACTGTTCTGTGTAATGACAGTTGTAAACCTATTTTTGCCCTGCCCTGTATTTTTTTAGGCTTATACCTCATATGTTTTTTTTATCCAGTCCCCTGACATCATTGGACACCCAGGTTGTCTGCATACCTTGGCTAATTGTGAATAATGCTTCATTGAAGATGGGAATTCAGACATCACTTTGAGATAGTGATTTTGTTACTCTTGGATATATACCCAGAGATGACTGTCAGTTTATATGTCCACAAATGTACATGAACATTTCCTGTACTGTTTGACATAAATTTTTAAAATATTTTCTGATATTAAATATTATATATATTATTTTTTTAATGTAAAAACTTTATTCTTTTTTATTTCTCTCTGTAAGATTGAGTATTTTTTCTTATTTTTGGTTGCTATTTACTGTATTCTCAGACTGTTTATGCTATTTCTTGGGTATTCTTAAAAAAGCATTTCTCCAACTAGTAGGTGTGCATTTGGGAGAGAAAGTAGTTGGCTGGTCGCCCTTGTCGCTTAGTGGTTCGGACAGGACTTTGAGTTCATTTAGACGGGATGCTACCTGAGGAACTGGTTGAAGAAAACATTTTCACGTAGATCAGTGATTTTCCCCTGGAGTGCTGCAGCACACTGGTGCGCCGCGAGATTTTTGAAGCGTTCAGTCCCTGGCTATTTCAGTCAGGGTCACTGACCTCTTTTCTCAGTCAAATAAAAGAAGCTAACACAACAGTAACTGCCTGGTGTGAATGAATCAAAATTATACCTTTTTTTTTGTCAAATAGGCAAAAAATACATTTTGTATGTGTGTGTGTGCATGCTGCAGAATGTTAGTAATTAGTTTATATATGCCATGAGATGAAAAAAGTTAAAAAGTCACTGGCATATAAATAATAGATCAGAATTAGAGCCTGGAGACAGAGTATTTTTTAAAGATACCTCTTTTCACATCTGAATGATGAGCGCTCAGTATGTTATTTGCCCTTTGCTTATGAGGAACTGCAATTGCAAACATAAAATGCAAATGGGGGCATTAAAATTGCCATAATATATCTGTTTTAAGGTAGCTAGCAGTACAGGTACAGTGGCATTGACATTAGGTGAAAATAATCTGCTTTAAGGTAGCTCATCAGATCACCTGTAATGTGCTTATTAGTTTTTAAGAAAATTGTTAAAATGAAAGCCCAAAATTCTTATGTGGAACTTTTAAACTTCCACAAATAAGTCTACAGGTTCCAGTTTGAGAATCACTCTTAACCTGTAAGAAAGATGTATGCTTCTATAGTTTTATATCAAATTCAATAGATTTAAAATTGCTCTTTCAAATCATGATAAAAATTTCTAAATTCTTATTCTTTATTTCTACACTGAACTTTCATGAACTAGTGATAAATAGTTCACAGACTGGCATTAGCCCATGGATATACATTGATCGGAAGTATAATAGAAAATAAAAGAAGGAAGTGAGCAAAAAAGTAAAATGATGGATAAATCAGAAAAAGGAGGATAAAAATTAAGCAAAATAGACACAGTAAGTGAGAATAAAATTCAAGAGGATATTGAAGAGTGCAAATTAGCTAAAAAAATAATAATTTAATCTAACTCAAAAGGAAAATTTGAGCAAAGAACCAGTAAGATGCTGTGGTGTTAAACATTTATCGAAAGATAACCAAAGAAATAAAATCAATTAAAACAATGCAATATAATTTTAAATTTTAAGTGATTAGGATATTGTGGAGAAGACAGATTTGTTTGGCCCCTCATGTGCATATTCTGCCTGTATCGCTGTGCAGTGTGGTTCAGCTGGACTTCACCTGAGCCGTGGTTCTCAGCTAATGCCTGAGTGTGGGATCACAGATGCCTATGCATCAAAAACTTCAGAGCAGCGTTGACATTTCCAGCTAGATCGATGATAAATTTGACATTTTAAATAAGGGAGTGGTATGTATTTAAAAGTTCAAATATCTATATGCAGATACCAGAGTCCTTCAGCCAGAGGAAGCTGCTAAATCAGCATTGACTTGATATGTGTGTACTATATGTAAGTTTTATTTGTTGAATCTTAGGAGCCATTGATCTATTTTAATATTTGGACAGAATATAACGTGTATTTTTATAAGATCAAGAAAAGATATCTCCTCTGTCTACTCATAGAAATGGTGTTAATATTTGCACTTTTTTCTTTGTAGGCCCAGACTATTCTTCTTCAGCATGGTTACCTGGTAGCGAATCATTGTGGCAGGCCACAACTCTTCCATCCAGTCATCGAAATAACCACGTCCGGAGACACAGTATAGCTTCCGACAGTGGTGACACTGGCATCGGAACTTCCTGTTCGGACAGTGTGGAAGGTGAGCCAAAATTCTTAGTGTTTCAACATGACTGTTCAGAGGATGGTTGAATTGAGAACATTCAAGGGATGTGTTTTATTGTTTCAAGTGAAGAAATTTAAAAGTAGTGTTTGAATATTTAATGATGTTCAGTGTTGTTATATATCAAAATGAAATTGCCCCTCTGATCATATCAGTGTTCCCTTCATTCACTTTTTTAATTATTTATTTGAAATAAGTTGTAGATTTATATGCAATTTTAAGAAATAATACAGAGATTCTATGCACACCTCCCACCCTATGGTTATATCTTGTAAAACTACAGTACAGTATCACGATCAGGATATTGACATTGCTACTGTCAAAATACAAAACATTTCCATCACCAGCGAATACCTAATGTTGCTCATACCCACTTTCCCCTCCTCCTTAACTCTTGGAAACCATGAATCTCCATTTCTGTAGTTTTGTCATTTCAAGAATGCTGGGTAAATGCAATCATACAGTATGTAGCCCTTTGGAAGTGGGGTTTTTCACTGGAGATTCATCCCGAATGTTGTGTGTATCAATAGTTCATTCCTTTTCTTGCTGAGTAGTATGTATATAACAGTGGTGATAATTGAATAGACCATAGTTTGCTTAACCTCTTACCCATTGAGTGATATCTGTATTATTTGTAGGTATTTGCTATTAGGGATAAAGCTGCTACAAGCATTCGCGTGCAGATTTTCATGTGAACTGATGTTTTTTCTTCTCTGTGGTAAATGTCTGTGCAGTTGGTGGGCATATGGCAGCTGCATGCTTAGTTTTGAAAGAAACTATCACATTATTTTCCAGAGTGACTTTTCCATTTACATCAGTAATGGCTTAGTATGAGTAATCCAGTTTTCTCTTCATCCTTGCTAGCATTTCATGGTTTCAAATTTTAGTTTATTTGAAAGGAATGAAGTAATATCTTACTGTGGTTTTAATTTGCAGTTCTTGAAAGATTAATACTGTTGAACATTTTTCACATGCTTATTTGCCATTTGTTTGTTTTCTTTGGTGAAGCATCTCTTCCTGTCTTGTTCATGTTCTAATTGGATTATTTTCTAATTTTACTGTTGAGTTTTGAGAGTTCCTTATATACTTTAGATACTAATATTTTGCTGGACTTGTGGTTTGCAAATATTTCCTTCCATTCTGTAGCTTATCTTTTCATCCTCTAACAGTGGATGAAGTCAAGTGTTATATTGGTTTTTCCTATGGATTGTGCATTGGGGTCAAGCCTAAGAACTCTTTGCCTATTAACCAGATCTTGAAGATTTCTTTCTTTTTTTCCCCTGAAGTTTTATCATTTTATATTTTCAATTTAAGTCCGTAATCCATTTTGAGTTAATTTTTTAAAAAATAAAGGATGTGTGTTTAGGTGTCCCTAAGACCACTTTTAGGCTCAGTGATTTGCTAGAAAGAATCACAGAACTCAGAGAAGCTGTTATGCTGATGGGTATGGCTTTGTTACAGCAAAGGGAGACAGATTTCAATCATGAAAAATAGAAGCAAAGGGCAGAGTCCAGGAGAAACCAGGCCTACACATTCATTTGGCCTCTCCCAGTAGAGTTGTGTGGACAGTCTTTATCTCCCAGCAGTGACGTGTGACAGCACATGTGGGGTATTGCTGACCAGGCAAGGCCACCTGAGCCTCGATGTGCAGGGTTTTTGCTGTGAGCTGGTTACGTTGGCATGGCTGACCACCTGTGTGGATGACTTTAGTCTCTAGCCTTTGAGAGGTCAAGGGGATATCACATGGTTCAAGTCTCCCACCATAAACAAGTTATTAGTATAGACTATATGGAGTGACCCAAAGTAAATAAAGACACTCATTAGACAGGATATTCCAAGGGCTTAGAGGTTACCTGTTAGGCACTGAACAAGGCATGTGGGAAGCCCAGACTTGCTGTCCTTTATGCATGGTGTGGACTTAGATCGAGGTTCATTTTCTTTGCCCAGTAAGTCTTAAAATCAGGTAGAATAGTTATTCCCGCTTTATTTTTTTCAAACTCGTTTTAGTTATTCTGGTTCCTTTATTTTCTACATATGTTTTAGAATGATTTTATCTATATCTATCTACAAAATATCTTGCTGGGATTTTAATAGGAATTGTGTTGATTATATATACATTTGGGGAGAATTGACATCTTTATCATTTATCATTAACATGGTATATTTCTCCATTTATTTACATTTTAATTTAATGCATTAGTGTTGTGTAGTTTTCAGCATATTTGTCCTGTACATGCTTTGTTAGATTTATACTTAGGTATTTCATTTTGGGGGAGTTATTGTAGATGGCATTATAGCTCCAGTTTTGGTATCAATCAGTAAATTGTTATGACAGAAATACAATAGATTTTTATATGTTTATCTTGTATTTTGTGATATTGCCGAACTCCCTCTTTAGATCTAGGAGGTTTTTGGTAGATTGGAATTTTCTCTGCAGCCAGTTATGCCATCTGTATGCCTTTTATTTCCTTTACTTACTGCAGTGGGTAAGACATCCAACACATTGCTGAATATGACTAGTAGGAGTGGCATCCTTGCCTTTTTTCTGATCTTATAGATGAAAAAAAAAACCCTCATTCTTCTACTGTTCAGTAGCTGTATAACAGCTATTCGCTGTAGGTATTTTGTAGATACCATTTATCAATTTGAGGAAGTTCCCCTCTAGTCCCACTTTGCTTGGAGTTTTTAAAATAATGAATGAGTGTTGGATTTGCAAATGCTTTTTCTGTACCAGTTGATATATTTTTTTTTTGGTTCACATGGTAGTCAATTTCATTGCTTGGTTTTTCAGCTTGAGTCAGTTTCAGCCCCACTTGATCATAGTGTATAATTCTTTTTACGTATTGCTGAATTTTGTGTTAATATTTTGTAAAGGATTTTTTATTGTGTATCCATAGGGGATATTGGTCTTTAGTTTTCTTTTGGGGGTACTGTCTTGTCTTTTTTGATATCAGTATAATATTAGCATTATAAAATGAATTGGGAAGTGTTCCCTCCTATTTTCTGGAAGAGATTATACTGTATAGAGTAGTGTTATTTCTTCCTCAGTGTTTGGTAGAATTCTTTAGTGAAACCATGTGGTCCTAAAGATTTCTTTTTTCCTAGATTTTAAATAATCCGATTTCTAAATAGTTACAGGGCTATTCAGATGATCTCTGAAGTTGGATGAGTGTGGTAGTTTTTTGGAGGAAATGGGGCAAGTGGTCCACTTTAAGTTGTCAAATTTATGTGTGTAGAGTTGTTCTCAGCATTACTTTCCTTCCTTGATCTCTGCAGCCTCTGAAGTGAAATCCCGTTTCATCTCTGGTACTGGTATTTCGAATCATCTTCCCTTTTGCATTTTTTGGTCTTGTTAGCAGTTTGTCAGTTTTATTGACCTTTGCAGAGAATCAGCTGTTTGTTTTATTAATTTTCTCTTTTTTCTGATTTTGATTTTAGCTGTTTATTATATTCATTGTACTTTAGGTTTATTTTGCTCTTTTTCTAATAAGTTTTAAGGTAGGAAATTATTGATTTGCAACAAAAAATTTCTTTTTTATATGTATTTTTTAAATTATTTAATTATTTATTTATTTTAGAGAGAGGGGAAGGGAGGGAGAAAGAGAGGGAGAGAAACATTAATGTGTGGTTGCCCCACTGGGGACCTGGCCTGCAACCCAGGCATTTGCCCTGACTGGGAATTGAACCAGTGACCCTTTGGTTCGCAGCCTGTTCTCAATCACGGAGCTACACCAGCCAGGGCTCTTCTTTTGATATGTATGATTTAGTGCTATAAATTTCTCAGCTCTGCTGTGTTGTGTCCCACAAATTTTGATAATTTGTTTTCATTTTCATTCAGTTCATTGCATTGTAAAAAATTTAGCAAGAGACTTTCTCTTTGATCCTTCGATAGTAGTTCCTTGTTTAGTTTCAAAGTGCTGGGAGATTTTCCTGTTGTCTTTCAGTAATTTCGAGTTTGAGTTCATTGTGGTCAGAAACACATTGATTTCAGTCCTTTTAAATTTCTTGGGGTTTGATTTCAGTCTCAGCATATGGTCTATTTGCTATACATTCTGTGGGCACTTGAAAAGAATCTGTATGAGATCCTATTTGTTGATGGTATTGTTGAGTTTTTCTATATATTTTTAAAAATACATAGTTTATTCCTTATACTCTTGCAGTTGTCCCAGTTTTTCATCCTTTTCCCCCCTCTTTGCCCAGTATCTCCATTCCCTCCAGCAATTTCCCCTTAGTTTATGTGCATGGGTCGTGCATATAAACTCTCTGGTTTTCCATTTTCTATACTATTCTTAACATTCCTCTGTCTATTTTGTACCTACTAATTATGCTTCTTAATCCCCACCCCTTTTTCCCCATTCTTCCCCATTCTCCTCCTTTTTTCTCCCAGCTGATAATTGCCCAAATGATTTCCATACCTGTGATTCTGTTTCTGTTCTGGTTGCTTGCTTATCTGTTCTGGTTGTTTGCTTAGCTTAGTTTTTGATAGTTGTGAATTTGTTGCCATTTTTATGTTCATAGCTTTGATGATCTTTTTCTTAAATAGATGCCTTTAACATTTCATATAATAAGGGCTTGGTGATGATGAACTCTTTTAGCTTTACCTTCTCTGGGAAGCACATTATCAGCCCTTACATTCTAAATGATATTTTTGCTGGATAGAGTAATCTAGGTTGTAGGTCCTTGCTTTTCATCACCTTGAATACTCTTGCCAGTTCCTCCTTCCCTGCAAAGTTTCTTTAAGAAATCAGCTGGCAGTCTTATGGAAACTCCTTCATATGTAACTCTTTTTTCTTGCTGTTTTTAATATTCTTCTATATATCTTTAACCTTAAGCATTTTAATTAAAATGTGTCTTGGTGTGTGGTCCTCTTTGGGTCCAATTCATTTGGGACTCTCTGTGCTTCCTGGACTTATATGTCTATTTCCTTCACAAAATTAGGGAGGTTTTCTTTTATTATTATTTCAAATACGTGTTCAATA